ACACACACACACACACACACACACACAGAGAGAGAGAGAGAGAGAGAGAGAGAGAGAGAGAGAGAGAGAGATTCTGTTGGTAAGAATGTATTAATAATCTTCATTAACAACAAGTCCACTGTTGTTTTTTAAAATCAATATTTCACTTGAACCCAATTGACAAGAACACTGTACGCTTATTTATTTATTTTTATTTAATATGTACAGATTGATTTTACGATTGTAAAGAAAAAAATAGACTTGTCTGCATGAACATCCCGCACGACCCCAGAAACCACAGTCAAACTTTATGACCTGAACAAAAAAATGGATGGTCAAAGCCTTCATAGATTTCTGCTTCTTGTATGTTTTTTTCTTCAAAACATCAAGAACAGAAAAAAATTAACAAATTCTATTTATCCAGTCTGTAAGGACAACATAACGAATAAACTCTAATGTTGAGAGTCGGGTTTCAGTGGTGGAAGAGAGGAAGAAAATAAAATTCACACCAGCAAAATAAATGACGAGAACAGTCAAATAGGTGAGGATGTAACCACTGATCTTTTGACATCCGACAGCTTCTCTGGGTTTATAAAAGAATCCATGAGTGACTTTCCCTCAGCGTATAACACAGAAAAAAAAAAACAACCTAAATTCTAAAAGACGTGAGATTTAGACAGTGGATTTGTAGTCAGACCTGAGAGAGCATGGCTGTGTTTCAGCTGGACACTGAAGCCTAAAGTTGTTTAAACAAAACTTTTGGAAATGACTTTTTGTCATGGAAACATTTAGAAATGTGGTGTTAATGTTTAATTGGAGCCTGCACAAACAATAGGGAGAAATCACCAGAATGTTTTCGTTTAAAGATGGATAGACCTACAACCTCAAGGTTTATATTGTGAATTGCTTCAAAAATGTTTAAAACATATCAACACCTTCCTAAATAAACACATAYGTCTTTAAGTTTTTAAGGGAACACAATGAATTTAACCAAAATGTTCCACGTTTTAAAATTATTGATAAACCTGAAAAAATGAGTAAGGCAATTATTGTAGGAAACTGTCATTGTTGTCACAATATTACCCTGATGTTATTATTCCTAGTAAGTTTATTACTTAATTAAATAAAATCTGTTTATTTATGGTTTTAGATTCAAAAAAGTAAAACTCATTTGAKTCAATTATTATTTGTAGCAAGTAAATTTACGAGAGAAACTATTATAAAAACGTAAAATAGCCCATTTGAAATCGCTCAATAAGCATAAACAGTTTAAGCCAGAACTTGACCCAGTTAAAACTTGCAACAGTTTAATTTCAATGCTAAACAGGACATTTTATTCAAATATTTTACAAAAAGAGGATTTACGTACAGATACTCTTTCCAGTGATGTAGTACATAGAATTGTTGCGTCAAATAGTGTCAGAGCTAAAAAAAACAAACAGTTAGAAACAAATGTGCATTCAGGCACAAAAAAATWAAAAAAAATAAAAAGATGAAAACTGCTAGATTTGGGAACAGTTACAGTTCGGACTGATCTGAATAAAATACAAATACAAAAAGGTCAGAAACACTTTTTTATCACGTACAGCAAATGTGTCAATTTCATAGTAAAATATTTGGCCAATTCATGTTAGAAACCCTTTAGGTAAGACAAAGAAATCAAATTCAGCAGAGTTAAATCCAGCTTTTGGTCTAACCTGACACAAAACAGTTTAAAAATCAAAACATGTTATTTGTAACGTGTCTATAAGACATGTGACACAATTTATTGAACTCACTATCTAATCTACTGTTGTAATATATACAGTAGAAAACAGAAGATGTTAGCATTTGTGAAGAAAAAATATATAAAATTCTCTTTTTTTAAAGCATACAGTATATGAAGTAAGACATCTTTCATCTCGGTTTTCCCAAAGCAGCACCCGTGTGACACAGGTGAGAAAAAAGGGGAAAAAATGAATCAATGAATGCAAAAAATGTAGACAGATATGATCAAATCAATCAGCAGGGTCAATAAATCAGGAGAGGAATGGTAACATTTTATTCTTTTCTTTCTCTCTCATCCTGAAAACCCAAGATTCTTATCCCCTTAAAATGATAGTTCAGATCTTTTGAAGTGGAATTCAGTGGAAATGTTATAAAAAATGTAATAATGATAAAATTACTGTGTTGGTGCCTGAACTGGACAGGGTATAATGGTGTTGTGCCATTTGAAACACGTGCTGTAAAACGAGTCAGCCAGTTGTGTTAACAGCACTTTTTCATCCTCAAGACCCATCATATATTTAAGTAAAAACATTGTACATATATTATTTACTGCATCAATGGAAACAAACCGTAATGCACTGAGGACACATTATATGAGCCTAAAGTTTGTTTTTCAGATTTGTTGTTAAGCCTAAAATTTATACGTTTGTAATCAAAAGTGACATTTCCTCAAGTCTGAGCTGCCAGGCTTGAAAAATATGAAATCGTTTTTACTGATCCTGTATTTAAGTCATTCATATCATGTGTAACTGTGAAACATACACTCAAAAAAAACTGATGTATTGGATTTACTTCAACAAATTATACCAATTGTTCCACTCAGCAGATCTGATTAAATATATCCCATTTATTTAACATTTACTTTTAAAGTAAATGAAAAAAAATACATTTATTCAACTCAGTTGAGTAAAACCAGCTGATCCAATACATCCATTTTTTGGAGTGTAAAAATAATGTGTTGTCAGTCACAGTGTAAAGCAAACTGCATTTTAACCATTATTGCTCTGCAGCTTGTTTATTTTATTTGCTCTCATGCTACAAATCAAGGAGATGTTCTGTACAGAAGTATTAAGTGATTTTATTCCATGATTTAAGTGTATTCAAGTTTATGATATCCTAACAGCTGCAGTTCAGGCTTTAGATTGAAGGGACAACAAAAGCATCAGACATGTGTAAATACATTTGTTGCAGTTTTCTGCAGACATGATGTTAGCTGTGTTTTCTCAGGTAGAACCAGCAAATTTCTGCTGACATCAGCTCAGGTTTAGAAAGGTGTTTCATTGCTCTTTGCTGGCATTTATGTGACACTAATGATAGAATATAATGCAATGTTGGCCCTGTATTCTTGGTTCAGCTTACTAAATATAACTTTAGACCTGCAAAGACCATCCTGTAGGAGCAAAGGGAATAAACACATCTTACCTGAATCTAAGATAAATTCAGTTATTATGATCAGGTCACTAAAAGCTAAAATAAAATTTTAGATTTAAGGACTGTTTTTGAATTGCCAGAGAACTATTGGATTTTAGTCTGCACAATCTAATTGCAAAAACGATGTTTAAACATGCAACCCAACTTTTTCAATTGAAACATTTTGATCCTTGCAGTTTATTGTAAACCATTTGAAATGACTAAGCCCCTTTTACAAGACATGACTTACAGGTTCATTGAAGTCTTTGTGCTCCAATGGTTAAAGGTGCCCATACATGGGGGGTACTTTGGCACACTTGTTCCTAGAATATTGCTGGTATCCTACAAAATGTGAAAATCAATGTACAGCAAGGATTATCAAACTCCACTAACTGCCAGGCAAACTCTCTAAAGGGAAGTGATTTACAAGATTTTTTAGCCGTAATGTACATGCCAAAAATATGAAAAGTCAAAAATGCCAAAGAGATGTGCTTTGCAGTTCAACCAGTTGATGCTTCTTTGATGATTTTACAATAGTGGGGCCAGCTTTGGGAGATGGTGACTTGAACAATTTAAAGACTTGTCTATAAAAGGTTGTCTTTGACCCGCAAAGACCAAGTTTCCCAATGCTGTTTTATGTCATAAATTATTATTATAGACGCAATGTAAATAAAAAAGTAAAGTATCGAAGCACAGTTCATAAGCACAAGGCAAGAACCACCATTTTAAAAAAATATCCCACAGGTTAAGTGTCCAGACACCCAAAAAGCAAAATGGACACCAGTGAAATTTTATCTTCTTGTATCCTGTGTAGATTCCTAACGGCTTCTAAACATTTCTTTTTCATCTTAAAACACAACGGGACATAAAACCTACCAATTCAAACTGTCTTATTGCTTTTGTACTGTTTATGTATTWATTCATTCTTTCAGTCATTCAGTCATTCATTTATTCATTTACTGTAGCACGAACTTGCTGCACCGATCAGCATGGAATTTGGCWGGACTGTAGATGAGTCCGACCTACACTGCACCAGCCAACGGTTTTAMAACTGACCTCATATTTGAAGAGGGGGCTTCATCTGAAAAGTGGGGGTCTGGACATACAAAAATGCTTATATCTCAAAAACTATTCAACACAGGAGCTTCAGATTTTGTTCAATCTCTAGCTCTGATGAAGGGCTATCCAACGGGCCCACCAATGAGTGCCACCCCACCCAAAACAAAAAAAAAAATCCATTCTGGTGAGTTCTGGTGCATCAGTGCTTTGCGTATGTGCAGGGGTCATATATACTACCACTATGCAGTTTATGTAAGTTTTGGTGATGTTTGTTTGCATTATTTCATTGTTTCTATCAGGCTTTTAAATCACTTGTTTAATTATGTTATTACTTGTGTACTGCATTTATTTCGTGTAAAGCGCTTTGTAACACAGATTGTAAAAAATGTACTAAAATTTACCCTAATTATTGTCATTTTCTGCTGGAAAAACAATATAAAATGTTTTTTTTGTTCATAACCCTGCATTACACAAACCCACTTGAGAAGATCTGAACTGTCATTTTAAATAGTAACACAAATGTAACATATATTATTAGTATAAAACAGGTAATCACAAGACAAATGTTTTAATTAAAATTTGTTTTAAAAGTGCTTGGACATGATGTAATTTGCATTCGCTGAAGTTCATAAAGAAAATCTACTGCAACCATAAAAACAACTTAAAAACTTTCTTTCAGCTCTGAACTCGTAAGGCCATTTCCACCACCGTCACGTCATTATTAAACTTTAAACGATTTTGGTTACTCTAAGCATATCTTTGAACATTCACTTCTCTGTCATCGTAACTATTGCTGTCATTGAAAATTCAGGAGTGAAATGAACTTGTGAGAAATAACACCCCCCCCCCCCAAATCAAAGGACACATGCATTAATGTGGGAGTCCTAGCTTACGTCTGTCAGACCATGCAGATGTTCACTGAGGAAGGTGACTGTTCCTGCTTTGAGTCCAAAAAAAAAAAAAAAACTGAACAAAAATGCAACATCATCACAAAGATTCAGCCCTGAATAAAAATCTGAGATTTCAGGTTCTCTTAGGTTATTTCTTACTCCAGCTTTGTGATCCATGTGGGGAAACCACTTCCCATGTCACCCCCCAGAAGAAATCCTTCAAACGACGGGAATTCATGTAAGCATATGTTCATCTCAAAAAAAAAAAAAAAAAAAATCATCCAGTCCATTGAAGAATTGGCATTAAATGAACTCTGCACTTTAGAATACCAGTTTCTTTCTTTCCTTATTAAAAATGTCGACACACATAAAGACACAGCTGTAAAGGGTAGCTGGGCTGCTTCAGCCCAAATTCAGCCAGGTTTTTATTAGTCTTGTTCTCAAACACGAACTCTTCTTCAATCCAGGTTTCAAACAAGCGAGCCTGCTCTGCTCTGGGCAGGCACCATGACCGGCACCGCCCCCATCCGCTCCAGAGTCGCTTGGCTGACGGCGTAGGAGTGCGTGTGGTGCCCGAGCGCCGACGTCACCACGGGCTTGAGGCCCACGGCGCCGTTGCTGCGCACCATGGCAGGAGGGGACGGGGCCGAGTTCGTCGTGACCACCAGAGTCTTGGGTGGGGGCAGCGTGTGGCTGCCGTTGGCAAACGACGTCGCTGTCGCCGTTGTGGGCGGCGCGTGGCGGGACAGCGGGGTGGAGCCTGGGGCCGTGATGGCGGGGCTGTGTCCCTGYGCCGGGTTCTGGGTGTGTCCGTGSGCTCCGTGTGTGGCGGCGGCTGTGAAGGTCTGACGAGTGTCTCCGTTGTAGCGAGTGTAGGAGTTGGTGTCGTAGTTGGTTTTGGGGTTGTGCCAGTAGCGRCTGTTGTATGTGTTCGTAGATGTCAGCGTGTCGTTCTCTGAGGAGGAGGCGTCCGCGTGGAAAGCCTTCACTGACGAAGATCGCTTTGGAGGCAAATCATCTTCTCTGTTGACAAGACACATCAAAGCAAATGTTGTTTATTTTAGACAATCATCCACAGTTAAAATTATTAGCATAATTACGTGGGATTATCTAACAAATCTAGAGTTTATCTTGGCTTTAAGTGTATTTATTAGCATATTTTAGCTTTGGTTTGTGATCTTTGGGTGGCACCAAAGCTAAAACAGATTTTTTTTTAGTAAATACTGAAGTAAAGACCTTTAAAGTTTTAGACAACTTGTGTGGATTTATGAAAGGAAATTGCAAACATTTTGGAGTATATTACGTTAGACTYGGTTATGTAAGTTACGTTATGTATAAGCCAAGGATAAGACATGGATAAGTTACCCACAGGTTTTGTTTTGTTACAAATATGGTATGTATATGTCCAAAAGAGACTTCCAATAAATTTTTTTGTTGTTATTTTTATTACATATTCAGCATACGTCTGTGTTTTTGGACAAAATTTACAAATGCCAACTTAAGTTCTCCAAAATGTTATAGTGTGACAGAAGTTTTAGGGAATCACCTTCTGATATGCATATAGGAAATGTACTGCAACTTACTGAGAAAAACAGTACTTTACTCAGGTCTTTGAAACTTGTCCTTTCCTAAATTTATATTTATTTTAAAAATGTTCTGCCTATAACTTCCTACAACCCTGCCATTTCAGCTTGAGGCGCTGATTTTGGAGCAGTTCTTAGAAGGACTAATTTTAGGTTTTTATTAATTGCTCGGATACAAAAGTTTTTTTATGTTGTAAGTTTTTACTAAGTCCATATAGTTAAAAGAAATTTAAAAATGCACACCAAGCAAAAGCCTGGGACTCCACAGGATGAAACTGTCTGGCAAAGTGGGGTGCAGTGGGGGGACACCAATTTTAYAGGTGTGGCCATTGCTCCACCTGGTGGTTTTCCTGTCTCAATGGCAAAAGTAACTGGTTGTGGTAAAGTGGACTTTCTAGTGTTTTTTTCTTAACAATGTAGGTCTTTTGTTAGACTTCTGATATACTTCAGAAAATACTACATACAAAGAAGAGCATTACAGGATGATACCAAAATGGAAAACATAGTTCAGCCCAAAATGATTTAATGTGATCTGAGTCAAAAACAAAAACAACCAAAAAAAATAGATATATAATATAATATAATTTTCCACAAGATGATTCTTGGAATAATTACAGGGTGAAATTGCAACCTAAGTTAACAGACAGAAGTACGCAGATTGTCTGAAAAGACAAATTGGTTTGTGATGATGAAATAAAAAGCTGCCAGGAGATGCGATTACTGCGAGTCCTCCGAACTTGAAATCCAATTTACTGACCAAGGTTTTCTGAACGAAGTCTTTGTGATGACAGCACTAACAGAAAACACATTCTTATATTCTTGTTTTTGATTTTTAGAAGACACGACCCGTTACTCTTTTACAGTTTAAACTTCTAAGAACACAATTATCAGAGCGGAAAAAATGCAGGATTATAACAGATGTGCTAAATAAGATTAGTTTTCATGAATATAAAAGAAATCACTGGTCTCACTTCCTAGTAAAACATACAATGTTTATTGATAACATATCCACNAACATATCCACTTTACATATAAAATATAAAAGTACTATATAGAATATTTTTATTCAGACATTAGATCATAAAATGATGGTTATTAKGTGATAGTGTTCATCCAAATCTTTTGAAGCAGGGTTCTGAAGAAAGAGTTTCAGGCCTAATAATTTAAGAGAGAAAAACAAATAAGTCCAACCTGATTTCATTGGGGATCTCCTCCTCCTCATATTTGTTCTTGTTCTTCCAGTAGAAGAGAGTGACCACCACTAACAGTGAGCAGATAATGACGGCGAGGATTCCTGTAGCGATTGTTCCTGCTATTAGACCAACACTCTGTGGCTGGGCTGCAAGATGGAGAGACAAAACGAGAAAATTCTGATGTGTATGGAAAGTATAAATGAAATTCAAATACTTAAAGGCTTCATTCACACAGGTCTAAAAGGCCTTGAAATAAATTTGTTATTCTTCAAATTTAAAATCTTCAAAGCTTTGAGCTAACTAATCCAGCATACTGTACGTCCACCTACAAACTCCAAACTCACCAAACTTTTACTTCTAATTCTTAACATTTTTCTGATTTCCATAACTCATAAGAGAACCCAAGAGCTGCATGTTGGCCAGGAGTCGGAGGCTGCAAATCCCTGATCACAACGGCTTCTGATTGGTTCTTTAATAATAGAAGGGAYACTTCAGTACGTGTGAGCCCGGACAAAAAGATAAGGAAAACAAAACAAAAAAAGTGCATTTATGCTACCAAAATAAAAAAATAAAAACCTAGTTGCAAAGGAAATCAAAATATTTCAAGAAGCACATGACAGATGTTAATGAAAGTCTCAGATTTCACTATTGGATGTGCATGTTCAACTGATTAATACTTGAAGTCCGTCTCAGGTGATGTAATCAAACACAGTAAGTCCTCCCTTCAAACTAACAACACTTTTCCACTCAAAYCAAACAACTAGTGTTCCAGGTGACTTACGTGCTACAACCTGCACGTTGAGCACACACGTGCTCTTGCCAATGGCGTTGCTGGAGGTGCACTGGTAGAGTCCTGAGGTGCTGGTGCTGATATTTCTCAGGGCGACAGTCCCCTGCATCTGGTCTGGTGGACACACACAGAGTATTTAAASTTACTATAGCATCAACTAAAAACATCAGCTGCTAACAACAGGTAAATGTTGTTGTTTTTTTCTGTCAAGAATACAAATCAAAACTTCACACACACCAACAGAGGGAGCTGTACACCAGCTAATAGAAGCTGTGCTGTCAAACAAAGGCTGCAGATAACAAGAGGTGGATGGATTGGATTACACAGCTGTACTTTACAGGGAATGTTTCAAAATGTGCTCAAAWTTTCTAATAGATTTCAGCCACATTGGTCAACAGTCAGATCTTTTTATCTGCTCAGGAAATGCTAGATGTCACAGATGAAAATTATGGATGCACCAATATGAAATGTCATTACAGTAAGAAAAGATCTTATATGAAGCTCACCTAAATTAACTTTTCCACATAGTTTCTAAAAAAATGAAAGTATTTTATCTGCAGCCAATGCAGTCTCTGCATAAAAAAAAAAACTTCCACTAACCAGTAGTGTACAGACTGGTGATGAAGACACTGTCATTGTGTAAGTGGGCTGGAAAAGAAAGGACAGTCCACTAGACCAGGGGTTTATGCCATAGCCCCAAACAAGCTTTATCTTCTGGCCAGGAACCAGATATATTTAGAAATATTTATTGAAAAACAGATTTGATTTCATGATAATTATTTAAAACATTTATTAGCACCTCATGTCATCCGCAAATATTGGCAGAGATGGTGTTCAGCATGAGTCTGGATATAATACAAACACCAAAAACTCCTCAAAAACAAAATATTTTTTCTCACTTCCTGAAACACACACAACTCATTCACCAGATCTCATCCATCAATCCATCAACCAAGTGTTGGGTTAGTGGAAGGGGAAACGTTTGGGCAGGTGGTAACTTGGGCCTGGCACATGACAGGTTGATGAAGGCACTGGACTCTTAGCTCCGCTACGTGTGTGACATTTACCAGTAAAGGTGGGGCAAAAGGGAACTCCGACGGCCAGCTTGTTTGTAATACCTTGCATGGCGTTAGGCGGCAGTCTGGGCAGCGCATCAAGCTTCTCCCAGGAATAGGACGGCGTGGGAATACCTTCCTCTGAGCTGCAGAACAGCATGATGTCACTGCCAACATCCAGCGCTCCCTGGATTCGGCACGCTGGCACCGAGGGGGGCACTGGCAGACGGGAAGAGAGTGGGTGGTGTCACGGTAATCACTTTACAACGCAAAAGTCATTATTTTGCTCATTGCAGAGAAAATATATTAAAAAAATCTCATCTAATAAAAATAATTTATTGCTACTATTTTAAAACAGATTTAACCAACCGTGCTTTAAAAAAAATCCCCAATTTTTTCTTGCCCTGTTTACTAAGACTTTCATGATGCGGTGTTCAGTCGGTTACCTAACACTGTGAGCCCAATGACGCCGATGTTTCGTCCCCCTCTGTCTGGAAAGTTGTTGACCAGGCACTGGTAGGTCCCAGTGTCAGACAGCTGGGTGTTGTTGATGAAGATGGAGGCACTTGTGCTTGGCATGGTGGCCACGAAGCCCACACGGCCATTGAGGTGGTTGGCGAGGTGGAACACCTGGCCGTTCTGGTAAATTATCACCTAGGATGGAAAATGATGTGAGAATGTGGGGGGAAAAAAAGGGAACAAATTTAAAATTCACACGTATTGCTGCTCATGGTGTTTTTGGTGGTGTGTTGCACATCTTTTCCACTAGAGGGAGACTTTCATTAAAGCAAAGACATACAGGCAGTGGACGGAGTAAGAAATGGAGTGAAACYAACTTATTTTCTCGGAAACAAACAAACAGACAGACAGACGAATAAACTGAAAGCTTTTTATTTGTATGTAGGCTTTTTTCCTGTCTTAGTGGGTTGATTTTGGGGAATAGGGTACAGACTAAAAGTATGCTTTTATGGCTTTGCTAGGCTCTTCAGATAAAAGCATCCTCTAAATGGAATGCATAATTGAAAGCATTTTATCTTGGAAACATATAAACTGAAAAGTTGATGATTTTGGGAGCAGCAAAGCAGGCAGTGCCGTCTTCAGAGCAGAGAATCAAACGGACGGAGAAATTAACCCTGAACTCATCCCGTTATCACTTTGTCCTCTGTGAATAATCACAACTGTAACGCACTTGAGTGGATAAGGCCACGCATTTAAGGTTGAGTTAATCTTGTCCCAGGTTCAATATGAAGAGCAATGAAGGATCAGCTCGTCCCCCTCCTCCCCCCGGGGGGCTTTTGAACAGCTCGTTTGTGAGGCCGAGCCACATGCAGAACAGCTCTCGCCCCTCAGCTGGGCCCACACAAAAGATGAAGGACCCACGCGCGCACACACATTTGCCACAGAGCCGTGACTCTTGCGCACGCGCCGACGTGCACGAGGCACGCACACGCACACACGATGTGGAGGGGAATCAGAGGGGCTATTCACTTTGCTGAAAAGAGTCCTCATTGAACTGTTCAAAGGCCCAGGCAGGGAAACAAGCAGCACCAGTGTTCCACTGTGTGTGTGTGTGTGTGTGTGTGTGTGTGTGTGTGTGTGTGTGTGTGTGTGTGTGTGTGTGTGTGTG